TGGATGAGGGTCAGTCGCCTACTAATTCATTCCCGGAGGTCCATATCTCCGAATTGGATAGAGGAGAGGTCAGGCGGCCCCATGATGACCCAATAGTCATCGAATGTAAAATCGTCAATCAACGAGTTGGCCGGATCTTAATTGATACCGGGAGCTCGTCCGACCTCATAAGCTACCAGTGCTTGGAAAAACTCAAATACAAGCCGAGTAGCATGCATCCGGCCCCATATCCTCTTGTTGGTTTTGGGGGAGGAGTAGTACATCCGGTGGGCATGGTTGACCTACCCATCCGGTTTGAAGAAAAAGGGGAGGCCCCACACATGGTTGTCAAGTTTCTTGTTGTAGGGGAACTGACGGCCTACAATCTGATCATTGGCCGCCCAACCCTTAACGTTTCAAAGGTTGTGATCATCCCGTCTCTAATGTCGATTAAATATGAGAAGGATGATGGCACAGTCGACTCCTTGAGTTGGAACCAAAAGACGGTGAGAGAGTGTTACCTCTCGGACGTCAAACCCACATTGGTCACAGACGGTCAAGACAAGGAAGTAGTAGAACTTGACGAGTGTGATCAAGAGTTACCGGCTACTAAGACAGTCGGTAAAAAGAGAAAGGCGGACCAGCTACTGGCCCCTGTCAAAGAGAAACAATAGCAATCACTGTCAGGGGAGAGGTCAGACGACCTCCGCCACCAGCCGGCAGGGGAAATCATTGACATTACCCCAGAAGACAGTCGGCCAGACAAAACCGTCAAAGTAGGGACGGTTGCATTTGACAACTTGGGAATCGATATACTCCGATTGCTGAGAGAATTCAAAGATGTGTTTGCCTTTGAAGTAGAAGAAATGCCGGGAGTATGTCCGGATCTTGCTGTTCATAAACTCGCCGTGGATCTTAAGAAGAAGCCGGTCAGGCAGAAGAAAATGAACCATGGCGAGGAAAGGTCCCAGGCGGCAACAGCTGAGGTCAAGAAACTATTAGATGTCGGGTTCATTCGGCAATGCTTCTACCTGGATTGGGTAGCCAATTTTGTCCTTGTGAAAAAGTCGAATGGTACCCGGCGGATGTGTGTAGATTACACGGACTTAAACAAAGCTTGTCCGAAAGATAGTTACCCGCTTCCAAAGATCGACCAACTGGTTAACTCTACAGTCGGTCATGCTCTAATGAGTTTTATGAATGCCTATTCCGGCTTCCATCAGATACCCTTGTGGAAGAAAGATCAAGAAAACACGGCTTTTGTCACAGATCAAGGGTTATATTGTTACACGGTGATGCCGTTTGGGTTGAAGAATGCGCCTGCTACCTTCCAACGAATGATAAACCCAGTCTTCTATGATCAGATTGGGAGAAATGTTGAGGCATACATTCATGACATGATAGTCAAGTCCAAGTGGCAGGCGGATCATCTAGCTGACCTAAGAGAAACCTTCACCACCCTCAGGCGGCATAAAGTCATGCTTAACCCAAAAAAGTGCGTCTTTGGTGTTGATTCTGGGAAGTTTCTCGGATTTTTTATTGACCAGAGGGGCATAGGCCAATCCAGACAAAGTACATGCGGTGATTGACATGTAGTCGCCTCGTAATGTCAGGGAGGCTCAAAAGCTTACCGGTTGTCTGGCAGCATTGGGGAGATTCCTCATCCGGTCAGGTGACAAGTGCCTCTACTATTTTCAAGCAATCAAAAAGAGGTCAAGATTTGAATGGGGTGAAGAGGCTGAGGCGACATTTCTGAGGCTAAAACAGCACTTGCATTCTTTGCCAAGATTAGTGAGTCCCCTACCCCAGGAGGCTTTCTATATGTACTCAGCCGTCTCAGATCATTCCCTAAGTGTCGTTCTCCTTGCTGAGAGAGACGACAACCAGCTCCCGGTCTACTTCATTAGCCATGTCCTCCGGAACGCTGAACTTCGCTATCCCATGATTGAAAATTTTGGCTTAGTCTTGTACAAAGCAGTCAAGCGGTTGAAACCTTATTTCCTGGCTCATCCGGTGACCATCTATATTGATCAGCCGCTCAAACGGCCTATGACCACTTTAGAGTCATCCGGCAGAATGATTAAATGGGCCGTAGAAATTCAAAGCCTGGAAATCACTTTCGAACCTAGGTGGGCAGTGAAGGGTCAGGCGTTTTCCGACTTCATTGTCGAAATGACAAGGCCGGTACAGCCGGATAATACTGATCAAGTTTGGAAAGTGTACGTAGACGGGAGCTCTACTATGAACGGTTGTGGGGAAGGCGTAATTTGTCATTCCCCAGAAGGGGACAAATACGAATATGCCCTACAATTCAAGTTTCAAGCTTCAAATAATGAAGCAGAATACGAGGCCCTGCTAGCCGGTATCCGCATGTGTAAGGCAGCCGGGGCAAGAAAGGTGAACGCCTGCTCTGATTCTCAACTCATCGTTAGCCAATACCATGGTGACTATGAGGCCACCCATCCGGTCATGATTAAATATCTTCAGGTGGTTAAGGAAGAAGCCGGAGCATTTGACGAATTCAATTTAAGTCAAGTACCCAGGTCAGAGAATAATCAGGCGGATGCATTATCAAAACTGGCGTCATCCGCCACTTGTGATACGCCTAGGTCAGTGTTCTGGGAAGTCATGGAAAAGAAAAGCATTGAACATGATCCCATAGGAATTCTAGATCGAAGCGCTACTTGGATAGATCCCATCCGAACTATTTGGTAGACGGCACTTTGCCGAGTGCATCTTTAGAAGGGGATGCCCTCAAGAGACGAGCATTAAGTTTTGTCATGCATAAAGGTGAACTCTTCCGAAAGGGTTACCTACAGCCATTATTCAAGTGTGTAACCCCAGAAAGGGGAAAGGAAGTTCTAGAAGACCTTCATGCCGGATTCTGTGGATCACACATAGGCGGCAAGATTCTTGCAAAGAGGGCTAGGCGGAAAGGATACTTTTGGCCAACTCTTGAGGAAGATGCACTAGATCTGGTAAAGAGATGTGAAAAATGTCAGAGGTTTGGCCGGCTAATCCGTCAGCCGACTACTGATCTAACGACTATCTACAGCCCTATTCCGTTTGCCAAATGGGGCATGGATATTTTGGAGCCATACACACCTGCCCCAAGCGGCAGAAGATACATTTTAGTAGCCGTTGATTACTTCACAAAGTGGGTTGAGGCAGAAGCGGTAAAGGGCATCAAAACTAAGGATGTCATCTCCTTCATCTGGAAAATTGTCATCACCCGGTTCAGTGTCCCTATGTCAATGGTCTTTGATAATGGTCCGCAATTCAAAACGCCTGTCCTCAAAACTTGGTTGCAAGACCAAGGAATTTCACATTATTTTACATCTGTAGGCCGTCCCCTCAGGTAGAAGCTTTTAACAAGCTCATCTCAGGTGGAATCAAGAAAAAGATTGAAAAAGCAGGCGGTCTTTGGGCAGAGTAGTTGACCCATGTTCTTTGGTCTATCAGAACGACTAAGAAGGGGTCAACCGGTGAAACCCCATTTCTTATGGCATACGGCACAGAGGCGGTGCTTCCCATTTAATTGTATGAACCAACACATCGAATCATGCTATATGATGAATATGCCAATTGGGAGGCAATGCGTCTGGCTTTAGATTCTCTTCCTGAAAAAAGGGGCAATGCAGCCTTACGTCACGAAATCTACTGTCTGAGAATGACGAGAGCTTACAACAGAAGGGTGCGCAAAAGACCCCTTAAAGTAGGAGATTTTGCACTACGTAAGCTTGAAGCAACCGGTAGGGCGAATGAGTAAGGGAAGTTAACTCCCAATTGGGAAGGACCCTACCGAATTTTTGAAGAAGTTAGAAATGGCACTTACCGCCTGGAAACACCAGACGAAATGCGGTTGCCTCGTACCTGGAACGTAGATAACTTGAAAAAGTACTACTTCTAAGGAATTTGTAATTTTTTGTAAATAGTATTGAAATGTGAAAGTATATAATTTCCATTCATCCAAATTGTATTAACACCTGTCTAGTGCAAAAACATAGACAAAAGAACACTTATTAAAAATCACTGCTCCAAAAAGAGCAGTCATCCGGCGACACCCATCCGGGTGAAATCGTCGAAGAGGACAGCTCCCTTCCGGGTGGTACATTGTCCTGGCGGTCATAAAACTTAAACGGCATTACTAACACATCATTGTAAGTAACAAACAGCCTTTTGAAATGATCCATTGCATCTAGGATTCAGCCAGCATAGACTCAAAAGTGGTCCATGCGGCAAAATCGAAATCCTAGTAAAAACACCAACCGGTTATTGCAGCAAAGCATCGCACACGGTTACATTTTCCGGATAAACACATTTAAAAGAATGATGTTATTCCAAGAATAATATGGGTTAGGACAACCGGGCCTTATCCAAAGGATACCCAGACGGTTATACCACCCATCCGGTTGCCTATGAAACGGTTGCTTGTTTACCAGTGAAGTAAACAAACACCCATTTCAGGGGCATTTTTATTGTACTAGCCGGTATATTGTAGATCAATGCATTACCTATCCGGCTGCCTCTGAAACCGGCTGCCTATGAAACGGCTGCTTGTTTACCGTTAGTGTAAAACATTCAGCCATTTCAGGGGGCATTCATTTATATCAGCCGGTATATTAAGACATCTAAGTTTATTATCCCATCCGGCAGAAAATAGAACGGCTTCTCTATTTTGAGTTTTTGTTGTATTAGCTGGTATGAGATAGATGAATAGTTTGAAACCTTATCCGGCAGAAAATAGGAAGGTTGCTTGTTTACCGTTGGAATAAACAAACAGCCACTCTATTTGCGTTCTATTGTATCAGCCGGAATGAGAACAGACATACTTGTAATACTTGTGTAAAAAAAAACTCTCAAATGGTGCAAGTATATGTAGAAAGCAAAACCGACTGAGTCGGGTAAATAGATTAAAATTAAAAATGTGAACCAGACCCTTGTCCGGGGAAAAGTACATTAATACACACGGCACGCAGGCCGGTAAACGAAGTTATATATATAAAAAAAAAAAGAGAGATTCATTGATGCTCTTGTTGATGTTGTTGCTCCTGCTGCTGCTGCTCCTGCACCTGCTCCCGAGCCGGCTCTTGAGTGTGCGCCTGCTGCTCACCCTCTTGCTGCTCTTCTTCAACCAAACCGGCCCACTCATCGAAGGAAGCAGGCGGGTCCAGGCCAAGGACCTTGGCATCATATACCTCTGAGGCATACTTATACCTAAGGTCGAAGAACTCGTAGTCATAGTCCAGGTGTATGAGCTCCCAGGCGAGCTTCATGCGCTCCTCATTGTCGGTCTCGTTCTCAGCCATCAGGCGGCGTTGTTCTTTTTCAAGCTCTTCTTTATGAGCCGCCTGACTAGAAGCAAGTTCATTTTTGAGCTGGTTGTTGTCAGCGCGAAGGTCGGCGTTTTCCTTGTCAGCTCCTTCCAAAGCCTTGAGATCGGCTTGGAGATTTTTGACCTTCTGATCTAGCTCATCCGCCCTCGCCTTTTCCGCCTCAGCAGCCTCAATAGTTTGCTTCATCAATTCCTCCTGTTCCAACTCTCGTCGTTTAGTTTCCATGTCATATCTAATGGCATTGTATTGGGAAACATCAATGAGCTCAGATGCCCGTCTCTGGGCATCCCTTACCTCCTCTTGCTTCTTGCGCAAGGGGACTTGAAGCCCGTCAACTCTCAGCATCACCTGTGATATCAACCGGTAGAGGAATGTTAGAATTATTTTGTAAACAACAACTAAAGCGGCAAACAAAGAAATTACAAGAAGGTGATTGACAAGGGTTAAATCGGTCGCTACAATCTAACTCTCAATCAAACAATACTTATACGAACACCCTATAACCAAGTACAATGGCAAATAAAGGTTCGGTCCACGAGGAACGAGAGTAATTGCAAATCAATCTTAAACCTAAGCTAGTTCGAAATCAATGGAAAATGGTGCTCTAAAATACTACTAATAAGATGAAATAATCAATAAACTAAGACACTAGGGAGAACGGGAATCCGCCTAACCATTGGTAACTAAGCAGCAAGGGATCACAGAGACAAACGGGATATGCAAAGACTATATGTCTGATCAATATCATGTGGTAGGAAGACAACGGGCAATACTAAGCTTGGATTTCTCATGCACTTAACATTACTCGATACATAATCAAACCACATTCAACAATGAAATACTCAATTCACAATCTCTTGTTCAAATCAAGAATATCATGCAATCAAATTTAAGATTCTAGGTTAGCTACTCCTATTATAATGAATTAACATGCAATCGCATATAATCAATTTAATCACAATTCGGTTATCAAAATCAACCCTCAATTACATAGATTACCTAGGCCGGGTTTCATCCCGAAACCCTAGCTAGGAGACTACTCACACATATTCATAATCAAAGCAACAATTGATTAGGGGATTTTGCTCCCACCAATCGGAATGCGCCACGTGGGCCAATCAGGTCCTGCCAAGTGTCCCCCAGTTGGAACTGTCAGGGTTTGCCACGTGGCACGCGCTTATTCGTCCACCTTGGACCTATTATGTCATGACATGTGGCATACTCCATGCCTAATGGAGAAACCGGCCACCCAGGCCCAACTTCCGAGGGAAGCCCAATCAGCCCTAGGTTAACCTAAACCTAGGATGGGCACGTTTCCCAAGGTTATAAATACCTCCCTTAATCCTCATTAAGGGGGATTACGGAAAAAACACATTAATTACACACAGTAATAACCGGCTGATCTCGCTAACAAAGCAGATTACCTAGAGAGGCCCAATCACTTTAATTTCCGCATTAATTACTCCTTAATCAAGTACTAACTTGACCGTTGGAGGCGGAGCTCCCACCACCAGGAGTCTCCGTTGTTTTGCAGGTACATGCGTCCGGTTCCAGTCTCGGAATTGTAACTCTCCCGCAGGACATCAGAAAACCCCGAAACATTTGGCGCCGTCTGTGGGGAGAGTACTTCTGAGATGGCATCCAAGTCTGTACCGACTCCTGAAGAGAGACGTCCCCTAGACGACCCTCAAGTTCAGTCGGACCATGATACTGAGAGTGAATTTGAAGTTGAAGCTCACACAGCTTCAGACGGGACCCTAAGGGCCCGACGTACCCGTCATACCGAAAGGAGGGAACGGGAACATCTTCAAACTGGAAGTGAGCCAGCAGGCGCACCGCCTGTTCGGCAACAGCCGACTGATGGGTCTGCTCCCATCACAAGGAACGAACTCATGACCTTCATGAGGGACTTCAAGGGAGAGATTCAAGAGTTGATAAACAAGAAGCCGCATGCTCCAGTCAAGGAGTAGTCGGCTAAGAAACCCTCCACTTCACTGAAGAGGAAGCCAGTTCAAGGGCGAGAGGCGACTCCTCATCCTAAATCTAGGAAGCGGGAGCCACCTGCCCTTGGTTTCACAAAATTCCGTTTTCCTACAGGAAATAGGAAACCTGTTCATCATATTCCGGCGGACGGGTCGAAGCAAACATTCACAGACGCTCGGCTACTGCTAGAGCAAAAGAAGAGTGACCGATTGTCAGAGTCGGCCTCTACTTCAAACTTTCAAGACAGTATGCGAAATGCCTCGATGAGGCATACTCAGTCGTATCATGAGAGTCAGTCAGGCGGCACCTCCCGTCAGTCCGGCTTTCATAGCGACCAGGCGGTACCAAACTTACCATTTGTGCCGCAACAACAGTATTTTTTGCAGCCACCTCCGTTTGGTGGACCTGCAGCAAAAAACGTCCAACCTATGGACTGGCAACTACGGTTGCTTAGACTTGGTGAACAGTCGTCGGCCTTCTCCAAGGAAATTACTGTAGCCGCTCAGCCGGCCAAAGTGAAAAATGTATTAGTAGGCGCCTATGACGGCACTACTAACCCAGAAGACCATCTTATGGCCTTCACCAACCTGATGTACCTTCAAGGGTTGGATGATCCCACCTGGTGCAAGTGTTTCCCAGCGACTCTCAAAGGAATCGCACAACAATGGTTCGGCAACCTACCGACTGGTTGTGTAAATAACTTCAAGACGCTTGCTTACTTATTCACCTCCAACTTCGCCATGAACATCCCTGCGAAGAAGACGACCCTTGATTTAGGAACAATTCAGCAGGGCGAGAAGGAGGGGCTTCGTTCTTACATAAGGCGGTTTAACCTGATGAGAATACAGATTCAAGGGTTACCGGATGAAGTAGCCTATACTGACTTTTTCAGAGGTCTCAAAGACGGGTCGACCTTCAAATTTGATTTGGTCCGAAAGAGGGTGGCGACTCTTCAAGAGGCCTTGATTGAAGCGGAAGCCTATATACAGGCGACTGATCTTTGTAGTACGGTAAAACAGTCAGACGGGAAAAGGTCCGACAAAAGAGAAGGACGACAGAAGCAGTCGTCAAACAAAGACGAGAAGAGAAAAGAGGTCTGGGCAACTGTTTCCTCTAAACAGCCGGCCCAGAAAAAGAAAAAAGAATTCAAACCATACTCCCTAAAGTATGCGTTTAACAAGGATAACCATTTTATCCTAAAAGAAATCAAGGGACGGATCTCAATTGAGAAGTCGGTCCCCATGAAGAGTTCTGCAAACAACCAGAACCAAGATAAATTTTGTGCTTATCATGATGATGTTGGTCATCACACCAATGACTGTATCAGTCTCATGCGGTATCTGGACCGCCTGGCTGAGCAAGGTGATCTTTACACTTATGTCAAGAAATCTACGGGGAACACTTCCTCAAAAAAGCAGTCGGCCAAAAAGAAACAACAAGCCGACAGCTCCGATACAGATGATGCAGTCGTCTACACCATTGCAGGCGGCTTCTCAGGAGGCGGCCCCACTATTAGGGGCAACAAAGACAACATCAGACGGTTAGATGTAAATTCCGTTCACCAAGAACGGCCGTCCAAATATTCATTTCCTGAGATTGTCATCACTGAAGAAGATCTAGGAGGGGTAAGAGGGCCGCATGATGACCCTATCGTTATTGAATGTAAAGTGGCCAACCAGAGAGTTGGCCGAATCCTCATAGATACCGGAAGCTCCTCGGATCTCATCAGTAGCAAATGTCTGTCAAAACTAAAATATCAGACTGATTGCATACATCCGGCCTCCCACCCTTTAGTAGGGTTTGTAGGAGGAGTCGTCTACCCACTAGGACGAGTGGATTTACCCATCCGCCTGGGCGAAAAAGGGGAAGGACGACACATGGTAGTCCGGTTCCTGGTAGTAGAAGAACTCTCGGCCTATAACATGATTCTGGGACGACCAACCCTGAATAATTCCAAGGCTGTTATAATCCCATCTCTTATGTTGCTCAAGTTTGAGAGGGATAATGGAACAGTCGGCTCCCTAAGGGGAGATCAGAGGATGGCCCGAGAGTGTTATCTCTCGGATGTCAAGCCCACTGGGTCAAGTGGAGAAAAAACAAACCTTGACAATGTCAAGGAGAGTGCGCCTGTTCAAGAAGCAGGCGGCAAGAAGAGAAAGGCATCCTAGACAGGGGCCGTAAGAAAAGAAAGAAAATAGCAATCATTGGCAGAGGAGCGGTCGGATGAGTTCCGCCCTCAGCCGGCTGGTGAGCATACGGACCTGATCTTAGACGACTCACGTCCTGATCGAACAGTCAAAGTTGGGACGACTGCTCTGAGAGACCTTGGTGATGACTTTCACAAACTATTGAAAGAATACAAGGACATCTTTGCATTCGAAGTCCATGAAATGCCAGGCATTAGTCCTGATCTGGCGGTACATAAACTGGCCGTGGATCCGAAAAAGAAGCCGGTACGGCAGAAGAAGCGGAACCATGGCAAAGAAAGAAGTCAGGCGGCAGCCGCCGAAGTTAAAAAATTACTTGATGCAGGGTTCATTCGGCAATGTTACTTCCCAGACTCGGTGGCAAATGTGGTGCTTCTTAAAAAGCCGAATGGCACCTGGCGAATGTGTGTAGACTACACAGACTTAAACAAGGCGTGCCCCAAAGACAGTTACCCTCTGCCCAAAATTGATAACCTGGTCGACTCAACAGCCGGCCATGCTTTGATGAGCTTTATGGACGCCTACTCTGGTTTCCATCAAATTCCTTTATGGAAGAAAGATCAGGAGAAGACTGCCTTCGTCACTGATCAGGGGTTATACTGTTACACGGTCATGCCGTTTGGTCTTAAGAATGCCCCAGCTACCTTCCAGCGAATGATAAACACTGTGTTCTTTGATCAGATTGGGAGAAACGTCGAGGCATACATTGATGATATGATTGTCAAGACTAAACTTCAGAAAGATCATCTGTCGGACCTCCGAGAAACTTTCGCCACACTCAGGCGGCACCATGTCATGCTCAATTCCAAGAAATGTGTCTTTGGGGTTGAGTCTGGGAAATTTCTCGGATTCCTTATCAATCAGAGAGGAATAGAGGCGAACCCTGAGAAGGTGCAGGCGGTCATTGACATGCAGTCGCCTCGTACCATCCGAGAGGTTCAGAAGTTAACAGGTTGTCTGGCGGCCTTGGGAAGATTTCTAAGCCGATCAGGCGACAAATGCCTATACTTTTTCCAGGCAAGTAAGAAGAAGGCAAGGTTTGAATGGGGGTCGGATGCTGAGGCCGCCTTCCAGAAATTGAAAGTTCACTTGCATTCCTTGTTGAGGCTGGTCAGCCCTTTGCCCAAAGAAGTACTTTACATGTACCTGGCCGTCTCT